TAGTTTCTTATATGCTCGCTTACTTTAAACCATTTTTTTTCATGCCTTCCTAGGCTACCCCTTACCAAGGCTGCCCCACAGCAGCCCGAACCAGAATTGGAAAAGGGACCACATTAGTAGAAAATAATTCTGCAGAGCCTGCTGGTATTAACAATTCCTTTAAACATCAACTGTAATTGAATTATAGTTCCGCTAGAAACCAATTTGCAATCAAACTATACTTTCTTTAAAATTAAATGAAATCAAATTGAGTTCCATATAACTTCAGCTGAAATATGATTAAAATTCTTTTTCATACCAAGTTGAATTCCATTTAAATTCAGTTGAATTCGAATTAAATTCCATTTGGGTACTAGAGCTCCAAGAGCCTCGAGGATTTTCAATAGAGATTCGATACATTCCTATTCAGTTTGTACTAGAGCTCCAAGAGCCCCAAGGATTTTGAATAGAGAATCAATACATTCCTATTCAGTTTGTACTAGAGCTCCAAGAGCCCCAAGGATTTTGCATAGAGATTCAATACATGTCCTATTCAGTTTGTACTAGAGCTCCAAGAGCCCGTAGAGCTTGTTAATAGAGATTCAATACATTCCAATTCAGTTTCTACTAGAGCTCCAAGAGCCCATAGAGCTTGTTAATAGAGATTCAATACATTCCTATTCAGTTTGTACTAGAGCTCCATGAGCCCCCAGAGATTATTAATAGAGATTCAATACATTCCTATTCAGTTTGTACTACAGCTCCAAGAGTCCCAATCATTCTTTTAATCTGGCGCCATCCATTTCTTATTCTGGGGGGGGGGCCCCCAAATTAATCCGGTGCTAGGATTGGTGACCGATCTCAAACCCAAGCCTAAGCGCTGGCGACACCCGACATAAGCTACCAGTCAAGGGTGCAAGAGCTCATCATGCGCAGCAAGCGGGGCGCAGTGAGAGAGCAGGTTCGCAAGCCTTCGGTTGTTCATGTTGTTCCCGCCTCTTCTGTGTGGTAGTGGTGGGAAAGCTTCGACGGCCCAGTTATGACGGTCACATCATCCAGCGGCCGCAGGGCGTGCCACCAACCATGGGGAATGAAGACAAACCTCAACGGCATGGCCCTCAACACGAAATCCGTCAAGGCATCTGCCATAGCTTGGCTCACTTTCAGGAACAACGTCCCATAACAGTCGGCTTTCATGATGGATGCGCTTTTGCGAGCAGGTTCTTTGACTGAGGAACGCGCATACCAGGAGTGATGTCCATGGCTCCGCCGCAGACATTTGGGTTCTGAGCATGTGCCTTGACACGAGCGATAGCACCAGAAGTTGACCCTCATGCTTCAACAGCAGGCCTCCATGGCTTGCCAGGCATCTTCGTTTGGCAAACCCCTGCTCAGAACTTGCGCGCAACATTGCATCAAATGCTCTTGGCTTATGAAGCTTAGCAATTCATCAGAAGTGCAATGTTGAAGCCTACCAAGACCCAAATACCATCTTTCAGGAGTATTGCCGCTGAAATTAAGAGTCTGCACTTGAGCCTGCCTCAGTGGCCGTAGCCAACCCAAGTCCAAGGCCGGTCGAGAGCTGTCGCCCTCGCGCGGTGTAACTTCATCGGGGGCAAGCCTGCAGCCCGCGAGCGACGGCCACCAACTTAAGCGCACCACCCTCTCTTCACAAAGAACTGCATGCACCCCTGAATATTCAAAAGCTGGGCAGCAAGATAATTCCTTGGATGCACTGGTTGCAGGAGTTATGTTTTTGCGCAAGCATAAGTCTGCAGCAGGGCAAAAACAAGTTCTGCAGCTCCAGGCACGTTTTCGGCCAACACAGCCCGCAATGCAAGTGTCCACCAAGGAGGTCTCCTTCCAGTCCCGGTGCAGGTTCTGTAAAGCGTGGCTCCCCTCCTGAGATTGGAGGCAACTGCAGGCAAGATGATTCAACCGTGCCAATGCCCGTGAGCAAGCGCTAGCGCCATCAAGCATTCACTTTTCTGCTGCCTTAAGGAAGCCTGTCCAATATCACATGCGGCTTCTGCGCTAGTGAAGCAAAGGTCAGCATTTGCGTGACCAGTAGGCCTCAAAGCAAGATACTCTTTCCACCATCTCTCCATCCCCAGAAAGCTTGGGGAGCCTATGCTTCAGGGGAAGCATTTCTCTGCGAACCCTTGCTTTTGCTGCTGACGTTGTAGCACAGGCGGTAGAGAACCTTGTATTAGGCGGAGTGCTGTTGAACGCATCACTGAGCACCGAACAATGATTTTCAGATCTGGGGCTTGGACTTGCCAAGGCTGCACGAACTGCCAGGTACTAGCGGCCGCTGTCATCATTCCACTCCTGCAAACAAAGGAAAAGCCAGGACGTAAGAAAGCCAAATGACACAAGCGCCCAAAGTAGCTGCATCCGCCTGAAAGCACAGGTGGCGGAACGTACAGCAAAGCCCAACGCTGAACCGCCAATGAGGAGTCCCCCACTTCCGCCTGATCAGCTGCGATGGGTTCAGTTAGGCTATGCGCCCTGCAAATGGAAGAAGACAGAAAAGGAGCGTCCCACTTCTGGGCACCGACAAGGAGCAGACATCCGACTGGGGGTTCAACAGCAGTCAAAAGACAAAAGGAACATCTAGGTTAAAACCATGGCCCCTAACATGGGCCCTTAACGCTGGGATCCTATGAAGGGGTTCTAAAATCCCCCTTAAAGGTCTAAGGGCCCATATAAGGGCCCATACTTTTAACCTTGGAATACAGCATGAGTTGGTCGACAAGGATAAAGTGATCATGACCTCCAGTTGATGGCTTTCTTGAATTACAGCAGGCGAATTCATAGCACGCTGCTTGCTGAAAGGAGCCTGAAACCTTTCACTCTTTGTGCAAGTGCTGGGCCTGCAGCGCCTCGATCTCTTTCTTCCGTTGCTCGGCATGGCGGCCTGCATGTCATTTGAAGGGTTTGGTAGTTACTTCTGGCACGCCCAGATGCGGCCTTCGGACAGCATCTTCGCGAAGCCCTCCGAAACCCACGACCTCCAAGTCTGAGCGCGCTGCCCAGGAATCTTGTACTTGCCCGCGTGATCCAAGGCTGTGTGGAAAAGTCCTGCTAAAGCACGCTCAAACGGCCTTCCAGACTGCAACATGCTAGATGCAAAGCTGACCTTCCGCAGTGATAGCATCACCCTTCTGATTTGTGACCGCTGCTAGGGCTGTGAGAGCTCGGAAAACCTCACAAGTTCGGTTACTCCTGCCGTGAATTGCAGAACCACTGTGTGCACAATGGTCACAATACCAAGGAACGAGAGGCCGCAAAGTTGGATCTGTCGGCTGCACAGTGTCAAAGTCCTGCAGAGCTGCAACCTGACACGTCCAAAGGCAAGACTGAAGACTCTGGCCATTCTGCCCAGGCACAAGGGCTTGCCGCACCCACGGCTCGTCTACACCTGTCTCTTGGAAAAAAAGCGAAGCTTCACTTCCTGCCAGCCCTGCCAGCCCTGACCTCCACGCGCCGCCAGCTCGCCCAAGGTGCAGCGCAGGACCAAGCGGCTTGGAGCCGAAATCTCAATGTCATCTTCCCTGAGGCCCACAATGCCCGCAAGAGGCGAATCCTCCAGTCTCGAAGCAGTGGGTGGAGCACCAGAGCCTGACTAAGAAGAGCGATGCATTTATGTGCTGAAGCACAAAGAAGTAAGCCCTGCCTTCGTCAGTGACAGTCTCACCAACGATCTCATTGAGACATGCTATGCACTTGGCATCTGGCGACGACAGCTCGTCGAAGCTGACAGCCTAACCCGTGCCAGGCATGAAGAGCTCCAGAAGGCTACAAGGCATTCCTGCAATGCGGGCCTTGCCGCGTCCTGTCACAACCTGCACCGCGCCCTGAATCAGACTCGCATTGGTCTGCGCATCCGCTGTCGATGAGGCTTGGAGGACTGCAGAAGCCATAGCCAAAGCCTGGTGACCATTAGCAAGAGATCATCTCTGAAGTTGCGCGAGCTAAGCCCCACCTCGTCAAAGTTCTGCAGCTCGAAATGGGTCCGGGCCGCAGCCTGGAATGAGAGCACGAGTTTCCCTGTGAAGCCAACAAAGCGCTTCCATGCTACTAGTGACTGCTCAGCCAGTTTCAACTTTGAGCTTCTGGCGAGCTGCAACTGCTGCGAGCCTTTGACAGAAAAATGCGGCGCGGCTTCGTCAAAAAGGCCTCACAGCTTTTGTGCGCAGCTCCACGAGACAAACAAGAACACTTTTCTTCAAGTGCTTTGCGCAGGCCTTGCATCCAGAGGCAAGAGCCCAGCACGAAGTGGCACTCTTCGCGTTCTGCACCTGTGGAAAAATTTGCCACATGGCGCTCAGCAAAGTGCGCCGGGAAAGGCCTGCATCCGGCGGAAAGTAGGCATCTGCCACCTTGCAGATGAGTGCAACTGGCTAAGCATGGCAAAGCTGTTGTGTGGACCACCCCTCGGTTCACATGTTTCTTGTCACTGCACTCAGGCTCGAAAGTCACTCCATCAAAGCTGGAACCTGGTCGGCATCCCCAGTCCCAGGGCACATCTCCAACTTCTGAACAGGGCACTGCACTTTCCAAAGGGCTACACCTCCCCACAAGCTCAACCAATCAGATCTCTGCCCTCAAAAGCTGGCCCCAGCACTAGACTCAGCTAGACGGCTGTGACCATCAAACATGCCTAAACTAAGGATAGAAAACAAAAAACAACAGCAAGCTCTCAAAGTTCTTGGCCTCTACAGCTCGCCGCAGCATAGGCAGCGCATCTGCATACCTCTTGTGCAGTATGAGCACACGCTTCCTTTCCGTGCAGTTGTCCCGCCGCGGCTTCTCTAAGCAAGACGCCGATTGTCACCCAAAGCCTGAGACGAACCGTGTCTGGAAGAAGCGCGTTGTTCTCTTCTCGGTTCTCAAATGCTCTCGAGTGCGGTGCAAGAAGCTCGACGGCCGTCGACAAAGTCTGGGAGCTGCGACAGCAACGATGACAAGCGCAGCGAGGATGGTCCTTGGCCAAGTCTTGGCACGATTGCAGACATGTGCTTGGGCAATGGAATTGACATGCGAGTCAAGAGTGTGCGTTGTCACAGGGATGGGGCGGGTCAATGCGACAGCCCCCTCCTGAGACCCTAGGAGCCGTGATCATTTTCGGGATCTCTTCGCACGTCCTAGTGTCGAGTCTTCCTCTCGCTTCTCGTGCTGTATCTTATTTTCCTGCCGTCTCTTCCTGTGAGTCTCGCATCGTCTCTCTGTGTTGTCTCCCGGGCATATCCTTGTGTCCTGTCGTCACGCTCTGTTTTCAGGTCATGTCCTTGTTTACATGGCTCCAATGAAATAGTTTTTCCAGCTGGGAGGCTTATGCACAAGTGCCGCGAGGCCCGCGGCCGCAGCAGCACACTGCAGCGTTGGAGGCAAGCCATGCTCTACAATGAAAGCAAGGACGGTACAAACAGCTGGGCGCAACATGGGCCAGAGCGGTACCTACGAAAGAAGCTCTTTCGCGCTGCGCCATCTTTCCTGAAGTGTGTTTCTGGATTGCGTTGAGGGCTGCTTCACTGTTTCCAAGTGATGTTTTGGAGCTGATTCCTGGAGCCGAGCAGATTTACACTGAGATCCACGCAACGCATGAATAGTTGCAACATATGCCAAACTTTCTTTTGTTTTCTGGTGCTGCGACATCAGTCAGGTGGTGGCTTGGCGGGCGCCACTCCGCATGACTCCTCTCAAGACAAGTCGCAGACATAGAAAGAGCGAGGGTGGTACAGGAGCCCCTTCTAAAAAGCAGGCAGCAGGCCGGATGTTTGCATGCTGTCCTCCAATAGATCATGCCACGGCTGAAGGTTTGCGGCAGGGTAGGGAATGAGGTCCATCTCACACACCATGAAGGACTTCTGATCGTTGTGAATGCATCCGAAATCATGTCAAAACTTAAGTACCATAGCAATGCACATGCAGAACTGCAGACGTCGGGTCGAATGTGGCACCAGAACACAAAATTCACACTTCGCCGCCTCCGCTGCCTCCTGTAAGCGCGGTATGACGTGAGACGCATCTTCGGCCATGGCCTTACCGAAAGCCAAATGGAGGTGGAGAGCCCTTGCAGCAAACACCGATGACACCGATGAGGATCCAGCACAGTGGCCCCGCTTCTGCATGGCCTGCGGATGAATGATGCAAGTGAGAAGCTTGCGATGAACCGAGTGAGCTGCACTCCTCTGCCAGTTCCAGCTGGTGATTGTTCATGAGCACCGGGTTGACGACGACAAGCAACCGCCTGGAGAACAAACCACATTAGCAATTAGACACCCATGCCGTGCAAACTTCTCGTATTCACATGCGCCTTCGCTCCCGCAGGGCTTCAATGACACTTCCAGCTCCGGCATGGGAGATCACTAAGGAGGCGGACTTCATCTAGCGGGCATCTTCTGAAGTGCCCATGCAGGGAAGGTCCCTTTTTGTGCCTCTTCGTCCAAGCTGGGCTTGAGTCCAAAAGACCTGTGACGACTTGCCAGCTTTGTAGTTCAGGGGAAAAGTTTTGGCAACTCTGCGTGGCGCAGTGTGCCAGCTCTTAGGGCAGGGCTCGGTTTTCAATCCCAGCTGCCGCGGCCTGGGGATGGACACATCTGCCACGTCATGTCACGATTTCTGGTGTGGGCACTGCTCTTAGAGCTTGCTCTTGCGCGACAAGTGTTCCGGGCCTGTGGCTACCGCGGCCAAACTGGACGACCAGCCTCTCAAATCCCAGAGCCTGGGCCTTTGCGCGCGTCGTTAAAGATTTAATGTAAACTCCAGCAGCTTGCAATCAAATTCAGGTTTCGTAGAAAGGTCTTTACATATCTAGACAATTTCTTCAAACTCTGGATAATTATCACAAGAATCCACAGCCAGGCAAAAAACAAACAAAACATCCGGGTGCCAGAGGCTTGTTTTGCTCCTGCTGGCGGCTATAAGGATTTACTGAATAGAAACTCCATGAGCTTGTAATGAAATTCCACACTGGCATTTCGTCGGAAATTCGTTAGAATCTCTTCTAGTTCTGGATGGCCACTGATAAAGTTCCCTCCAAGTAGACACGGCAGGGCAAAACAACAAACGCCCTGGAGCTGTTTGCATTTTTCCCTAGCCACGGCTGTAAGGGCGTAATTAATGGAGACGTCTGCAGTTCATAGACAAAATGCGAGCACGCCCAAGCAAGAGGCCGTCCTCGTAGCCGAATGTTGGGACGCTCCACTTTTTCCGGAGGCACTAGCTTCAGGCCCCAGTCGTCCCCAATCATGCAACAAATCGGCGATCACAAATCAAAACAATGATCTTAACAATCAAAGTCAGATAATGTGAGGGTGCTCTGCGCCAACGTACAACGCCACAAAGGGGAGAAGTGGTTGCAGAATCTGACAACGGAGGATGCGAGAGCTGGATTGTCAACCCGAAATGCGGGGATGTGCTATGCAGGGCATCAACCTGCAAACTGTTGAGGAATGCGGTGAGGATTCACTGTTAAACCTGGTACGGGTCCATAGTCAAAAAAGCAGGGGGGTCGAGGGGGGCGCATGGGGACTCACTATTAGATATGTTTGACATGATACGTATTTATGTTTAAAAAACTGTGTTGCGGGTAATCAGCCCCCGCATTTGCAAACCATTTAGGAATATGACAGTTTTCTATGGGGATTCACTAGTAGACATGATACGGATTTATGTTCAAAAAAGGCCGAGGACTGCGATGACGCAGCCCCCGCCCCGATCAAACCGGAGAGAAATGTGACAGCTGTTGATGGGGATTCACTATCAGACATGATACGGATCTATATAAAGAAAAAAACTTGGGGGTTGGGGAGGTGCAGCCCGAATGTGCCAGCTGTTGATGAAACGAGGATTGATAAACCATTAAGCATTTCGCCCTTTGTTGATGAGGATTCACGATTAGACTTGATTAGACCTGATACGGGTTCATGTTCAAAAGAGCTGGTGGAGGCTGGAGGGGGGGGGGCTGCAGCCCCATTTTTGTAAATCATTGAAGAACATGACTTGATGACGAGGACCCGACCGATGGACCGAACGACCGTTCGTCTTCTAAACAAAGGGAGCCGTGAAAGCGGCTGACCAGGAGCTAGGCTGACCGAAGCCTTACAAAAAACAAAAAAACCAAGGGGCCCGACAAGGCGACACTCCATGTAGAACATCCCTGCCCCATAACTCTCATCGACAGTTCAGCACCTTCTCGTGGAAAGCTTCGGTGTCCACTGCCTTGACCAAGTCGTCGAAGGACGTGGTTCCCACAGTGACCTCGAGCTGTTCCCAACCCTCACGGTGTACGTTTGCAGATGTTTACAGTCTGAGGAGACCAAACTCTCCCCCTGGAGAGCATTGAGTGGCTTCACGATGCATGTGAGTTCTTTGTGCTTCTATATGCACAAAGTCCAGAACACTGAGCACGCAGCGAAAATCATTGCGCTCGCAGCAGAGTGATTGTAATTGCTTCTGGAAGCTAGGGTCGTGTTGTGAATGCTGCTGCGTACATGTGCAGAGGTCCCGAACCAAGAGTAATCAGATGCAGCTTGCACTACCTGTGGCTCAAGCGCCAAGCCCTTGATTTGCCAAGGCATATGCCAGGCCCAGGCGAGCAGCAACATGTGGTGGCGGCAGTGCTCCATGAGCTTGTATTTCAATGCTGCAGCATGAAATCTGCAGCTCTCGCAACTTTTCCTCTTGAGCAGAGCCATCATCCGACGCCCTTGTCTGTGCCCAAAACTGCCTGGCACACGAGAACAACCCGAAAGAAATGCAGGTTTTCACGAGGACAGAACAACAGACACCGAAACGATAAGAGTCTGAGACCACCCTCCCACGAGCATCGAGCGGAGTCGCGGCCAGCTGAGTGCCTTCGCCTCATAAAAGTCCCAGCTTAGCCCAACAGATCAAATCGGTGTCTACCAGGAGCTCCCAAGATTTGATAAAGAAGTAAGCAGCAGAAGTCCTGAAAAATCTGCTCCATCACGTTTTTCATCGCCGCATCCTGCTGCTCCTTCAGCCCAGCAGAGCAAACCACGTCCCAAACTATCATAGCTCTACTGCCCGCCATAGATCCTGCAAACTGCAATGGGACATTATCCCGTGAAGAAGCGCAATGAGCCCGAAAGAGCGGTTGTAAAGCTACCAGTGTCACAGCCTCTCGTACAAATGGGTTGAACGTGTGCGACGGGAGCTCGGACCTTGGTGGCATTCTCCGAAGGGCGCAGATGCCGCGGCCATCTTCTGGAGTCGGTGCGGCTGAGGTCCTGAAGAGCTGCTCTTTTCACACAATGACTCCGAGACCAATGCCAAACCTTACCAAGTCGAACTCGCACGTATACAGCGCGGTTTCATGTGAGCTCATGTGAACACTTAATTTGAGGGGCAAGCCAAGCTCAAGAGCCCTGAACGGAAGAAGCCACTCCAATCAACAGCACTAGCCTTGTCTCCACGCCAAAGATCGCCGACTCTTGCTGCGAGTCATAGGCCCCGTCTCCCCGCTCTCCCATCCTATCCCGTAGAACTGAGTTGCTGCTCCTGCATTTCAGGCCCCTCCCCTCTCACAACTCGCATTATGTGTTCAATCCAAACCCAAATGCTCTGCTACAATACCATGCGGGTTTCCGCTTTCGACGTGCACGGGCCCAATATACCGGCAGTTTGGGGTCACTGGCTCTGCCGAGCAGACGACTCAACTGCCCCACCTTCTCCCCAAGCAAGATCGATTCACCCCCAGCCTGAACCGACCCGTGCCAGCGATGCAAGAAACGGCGCAGCTGTTTGCCATCAACCTTTTCAGGGCAAGGACAAAGTCGTGCTTCTGGACCACGCCCAACAATAGGGAGCACATAAGGTCGAGCTTCCAGCATGAAAAATGACAAGGCTCAGCCTAAGCTGTGCTTAGTCTGTAGGCAAACGCATGCTTGAGTCAGCCCGCCTTCTGTTCCCGTTTTCCCCAGGACTGGCGAAGCAATTTCTCTTGCAGCGCTGGATGGCTGACGAATAACCTGCGTCAGATACAGGAATATTTCAGGGAAGGCTGACAGCAATTAAAGGGTTTGGTTGCTAGGTACTGTCCACCACTTTTCATTGAGCACGAAGGCCTTTGCAGAAATTCAAGGCAATAAAACCATAGCTGGGGTCTCGACATGCTCGTCTCTTCTGCGGTTAAATCAGCTTGTTTCCAGAACTGCCTGGCAGTCTGAACCTCATGAACTCAGCCCGTGGGAATGACCAATGTCACGCATATCTGCAGAGGCTGCCCTTTGGCGGCCAAGCTTGGCGCCACCAAGCTTAAGGCTGCCGCCAAGGAGTGGCGTCCCTCGACTACGCGATCTTCACATGTCGCAAGTTCGGAAGCGGCAGCAATGACATCGCCCCTCCTGTCAGGTGCACACTTCCGGTGAGGCATTACATGCCCCACACAAGCTGGGCACCAAAACTGTCAATGCACTTGGCCTTACTGCATTTTCAGCTGCCAGACAAGCCTCAGCTGTTGTCAATGCCATTGTTTGAACGCAAGGCGCCCCACACTCCATGCAATAGCATAAAGAAATTGGCATGACGGGACTGGCCTCTTTCCAATGAGCTGAAGCTGATGGAGGGGTGCGTGGAACAAGCTCAGTCAGGTAGTGGCCTAAGCTTTATGTCAACAAGTCAACAACATTCAACAACATTCAACAACCAGCAAAATTCAGTTGCAAAGAAACTGCTCATAGGCAGCTTGCTGCTGTCTGAGGCTGGTACGGTGAGCCGCCTGTAGCACCAATTGCCCCAGCCTCTTGTAGACCTTCAGGTTGAGGGGAGCATGATGCCTTGGGAGTCTTACCTCGTGAAGTGAGGAAGTATCCGCAAAGCCGGAAAAGCAGCTTTGCTCAGGATTCTGCTACCGACTTCCGCTTTTCAGCCCCTGTGCAGGCTCAGCTGACCCAAACGCGCTCTGACACGACATGACTTTCAGCTGGAGCTGCCTCGAGGCTTCGTAATGGAATGAGGAGGTAAGGAGCACCACACGTTCCCAAAGGGGCTTTTCTCCTGCCACGTCCAAGAACTGTGGCACGGCAAAATTACAATAGTCTCTGCATGCTGCAATACTTTAAACCCGGGGCCTCCAAATGACCGCTCCAATGCCATTCCGAAACATCTCCGTGCCTGGTTGTGCTCTGACTGCATCACACTAGAGCTGCAGCTGCTGCATCACGCCTGTGTTTCCACCGTATTCTTTTCGAACCAACCGTAACCATGTCCAGCTGCAAGTTGCCCTGGCCCCGCACTACCTGCAGAAAAGTCACAAAGGTTTTGAGTTAGCTCTTGGAACTTTCAAAACACTTTTAGCACATGCTTTCGGAACAGCGTGCAGGCTAAGGCAAAGTCGATGCCATCCTTGTTCAGCCACAAGGCAGCCTGTCAGACATGTACATCCTGCGCCAAGAAGCGTGGAACACACCTGACCCTCCTGATCCACCGCTCCTTCTGGCTGGGGCGGTCGGACCGCCATGTCTTCAAGGCTCCATCGACCTCCTGCGTGCATAAATACTAGGCCAGTTTTGGGACGGAGCTTTCCTGATTCCACATCCACGCCGACACACATTCGCTTGACACGTCTCTCTTAAATTGATGGGTTTCTCTACTTCGGTGCTACGTGTTTCATGGGTTCACCAGGATCAGCACAGCAGACAAAAAAACTCCAAAGCTGCACCTCGATGATGTGGCAGCGAGGTGCGTCGGACCCATCCTTCGCGTCCTTGCTGCACATGCACTCTCACCGTAAGTGACAGAGACGGTCCTAGCAGTTTCTTCGAATTCTCCACAACTGGCATGCTCTGGCACGTGAACGATGCTGTCCGAAGTGGAGGGCTTGAACTAAAGAGAAAGCAAACCAACAAACCAAACAAACAAACAAACAAACATCCTTTGACTTCGACTTACAGCGAACACAGCCCGGCAGGTGCGTGGGTATGTCACAATGGGTATTAACAAAATGTGTCAAGAGTTTGACATAAGCGGGGGGTTGATATGGAAATCGAACCTCCACTTCCGTGCTGAACGTTGCATGAGGATTTCTTGAAGGTGAGCTCGGGGGACAAACAAACATCCGACCTTCAGATATTCGTGCCCTGGCAACCTGAGCAACACGGGCAAATGCTCTGTGTTACAACCAAGCCTGCCACTGCCCCGTCAGACTGCGGGCCTCGGCAATTGAAAAGTGGGCATTGGCAAGGATAAATTAGCCGCAGGATAACCAGACTAAGTAGGGACGCGTGTCTCCTCCATGTCTCGAAACATCTAGGGCATGCACAATTTCTGCCCACTGTTGCTGTCGGCGCAGCTCATCCTGACCGCGGCGATTCGGGATGATGAGTAGTAGGGCTGCACCCGGTCTCGTGGCCTCCTTCAGCTGCTGTTCCTCTAGAATCTGGCTCTCTTGCTCGAAAGCGGTTCGGAACTGGCGTGCTCATGTCGTATGACTGCAATCTCGCTAAGCCGCACTCCCCCCCAGCTCCAATTTGCTGGGGCCTGGTCACAGTAGACCCTCCAGCTCGACCCCTAGCCCCTGAATCCTAACCAAATCTCCCACCCAACCTCTCCCAGCACGCGCATCTCCCAATATACTCCTTCCAGACCCCTCCCAGCATCCCCCTCTTCACGGGCAGATCTCTCAGTGCACCTTTCCAAAGGAAGCGGAAAGGTTTCCCAGAGAACCCCCGGCCAGGATTCCCAACCCCTACCCCCAGGTGAACCCTCCACGTCCCTGGAAGCTGAGCTCTCCTTGTGATGCGCTGGTAACGGTCAGAAATCGGTTTTCTAGCGGCGGCTAGTAGTGTCTCATAAGGGCTGCTAGCATTCAGCTGCTGAGCCATGGTTTTCATCCAACAGCATCCAGTAGCAGTAAACAGCATCTAATAAAATCCAATGGCGCATAGTAACTTCCAATAGCCAATAGTGGCCTCAAGTAGCAATTCTACCATGGCAGCAAGAAATCACATTTGGCCTCGGTTTTCAGTTCAGGCTCCCATAGCTCTTCTACGTGGCGCCTCGGGGAATCGCCACGTTGCAAGGCACAGGTCAAAACACATATCATTCAAAGGCCTTGATTGCTCCATGTCTGGCGGAGCTCTTGCTTTGACGTGCCTAGTAGCCAGCACCGGAATCGCCTCACCAGTGTCATCCCAAAAGGGGTACAGTACTGAGCCTCACTTTTGATTGTTGCCTCACCTCAGGTGCTCGAAGCGCTGCTGCAACAGCTCGGCGGCCGGGGCCTAAAAACCTTTGCCAAAGATCCCAGGCAAGGCATAACTTCAACTTCCATCAACCTCCATCCAGACACTCAGCCCAAGGCTCCGCTGCAGGATTGCTCTGCTTCGGGCTGACTTCGGGCCGTGCCCTGAGCAGCTGAGGAAAGGCCACCAAGAAGCCAAACCTATCCTTTGAGGAAACCTCCGCGCCTCCGTGGCCCGCTACGCGTGGCTGCATCGCGGAAGTCCAGAATGTCAGCCAGGACGGGACGATCCTCAAGCCTGAGTCTGTGTTGCTCAGATATCTACATGATACTACACTTGAAGCGAACTCTACCGGCAGCTGGGATGCGCACACCCCCACCTTGTGCCCGGAGCCTCCACACCACACAAGAAGACTGCTGGCCTTTAGCCGCGCCACACTCGGCAAACATACATTTCAGCTCCCTGCCTTCCGGCTCATGGCGTTGCCTGCTCGCCTACACCAGGCATGGCTACTTGTAAAGCAGCTTCCTGTACTGCAGCCACAATGAATGGCCAGAAAAAATGTCACCGACTCTGTCCTCCTCTTGGCGAGTCGAGGACAGTTTGCGGCGATGGCACACCCAGCAGAAGTCCACGCCTCGAGCTTCACTTGCTGACAGCTTTTGAGAGGGGCATCTGTATGATCCATTTCAACTACTGTATCCTAGCAGTTGGCTTTGGGAATCCGCAGCCCTGAAATCGGAGCTGCGAACTCTGCATTACATACGAGGTGCCTCCTGCCAGCGGCTGCGGGATCCGCATAGCAAAGCTCCATTGCAGAGTTCTCATGAGACCATGATGCGGAGGAAGCTGTGTTTTGCAGAGGTCAGGCTCTGACGATCTCTACTGCCCTCTGGAACTTTCAGCTCCAATACGCTGAGATGAGCTATGGTTGCCTAGACATAGGTTCCGCTGCAGTCACCTTGTTCACTTGGCGATGTCTTGTAGAAGCGCACTGCTGCTAATTGTATGTAGGCATGCTGTGAGCATGGTGCAACTTAAACGGCACATAACTGCCTTTCCACTTTGAACGTGATTGCAGAAAACCTAGGTTCACACACCGGCATGCAGCCCAAACCCAGCTCGTTCGAGGCAAGCATCTCCATAGATCGTGGCCTGAGTTGCACATCTCACTCCCAACATGCATTCCTCATCTGGGAGGCTGAGACCCAAACTCCAGCCCCCAAGCCAATCGTCAAGATGTGGCCGCAAAAGCACGCCTTGATACTGTAACAGCATCAAACAAAACTGCAGGAAAACTTTGAATTCGCAGGCCGGAATCTGCATTTTCTGGCCATGGCCATTTGCAATGCGCCGGCTGCAAGCTCACGCGGTCACGTGCGCTTTGACGGCAGTGCGTGGCTTGCTTGTGAAAGACCAGCATGTCCACGAGTCTTGGACGGCCCCAGACTTCTTGGCATCAATTGTGTGGCAAAGGTATTTCATAGGCAATGTCCCTGAATTGAATGCAGCAGCTCAAAACTCCAGTCACGCTGACTCATTCCGTGCACTTTGCATGTGTGCAACTGACTTTCTTTGTGAAGCCAAGCTTGCATACAGAAAACTGATTCTTGCGGCACTGCGCCAGGCTTAAATGAGGCATCTGAGCATGTGCAGGAGCAGCTCCGTTCTAGAAGCGGGTAGGAGTGCACGGTCTTGTCACTGAGCGCTTCTCAGCGTGGCAGCAGCGCAGCTGCAATCATCACTTGTAGAAGGCCGCTTGGGTTGCCTTTAGGAAGTGACTCTCTGTCCATCTCTTGCCAGCAGAACTTCTTCACTCCCCTTGACAGCCAAGCCGCGTCGGGGCAGGGTCGCTTGCAATGATTCTTGGCACGCTTCCATAAGGCGAGCTGTGCATCTTCAAAAGTTGAGGTAATCGTCACCTCACCAACAGCAAAGTGAATGCAATCCCTTTGGCTTGAGGGCCCTGCCTCTGGGAATGCCTCTGGCATGCTGTACCTGCCCGTGTCCAGCAACCATTTCGTGCCATAGAAGCCTGAGTCAAAGTACTTCCCTCAGGTCAGCATTAGTATCAGACAGTTTCAAACTCCATCAATGCCGTTTACTCCAGCTGCTCACCCAAGCTGACCGCATGCCAAGTAGCACTCTTCCGGCGGCTGCGCCGTGCTGCATTCACCAGAAAAGGTGATCTCTGGGGGCTCTAGCCTCCATCAGCATGAGTTCAAGTGCAGAGAAGAGTACGGTTCAAGAGCAGGTGCAGAATCTGTTCGATCCCTGCACACTGGGCAAATCTCACGCACAGGCAACAAGCGCTGCACACAGTCGTGAGGTACAGGAAAACAGCGCGGGCGGATGAGCACAACGTTAGCAAAAACCGCTGAGGAAACACACTGGACTGAGCAGCAAAGGTGGATATTCTCAGTAAACAAGAAGAAATCGCTCACTCAGCTAAAGTACTTCGCACATGAGAAAGCATTGCGTGATGTTGGGCAAGGATTCGGGCACCGAGGAAAACAACCATGGCAACGAATTCCAAGTTGCAGCAGGTGTCACAAGCTGGGAAACCACGAAGTGCTTGTCGCTTATTTGTTCTTGAGGGCGACAGATGGGGAGAAAAACGTATGTCTTCCCGTGGCTGCGTCACGAACAATTAAGTCCTTAGTGCCCTCTGGAAAGAGCACTCCTGCTGGTTCAGAACTCAGCACTGCAGATCCAGTATCCAAACACAGCTCTGTTGAATGCTTGCTTCTACCAGAATGTGCACTTGGTGCCTCGTTGCTGCAGCTGGCAGCGTGACATGTGCAATTTTTCCAATGCAATTCACGACAGTGGGTCAGGACAAAGGGGAGTGTAAAGCAAAATTCAATCCCAGCATCAATTTCTGCGCAGCCGGTACGTCCACAACATAGCGAAGCTGCGTGGCCGCTATGCAAGTGCTGCTGGAATTGACCCCAACGTCCACGGAGCAAGGCGCGGGACAGCCGGCTTGACCTTGAAAGCTTTCCCTGAGACTTCAACAGAACAAATCACAAAATGCCATTCCAAGCAAAGCCACGCTGAACGTGCAAGGCGGCCTGGAATTCCTGCCATCGAACAAAAAGAGGGCTTGCTTGCTGCTTACCCAAAGCCCGCATTGGGTTCAAGACCTTGAATGTCGAAGTCGGAAGGAGGCCTGCTGCTGGCCTTGGTCGACTGCTCAACAAAAAACAGTTGATGTCAAAAGCAGAGATCTCTTAAATTTTGTGACACCCAAGAGGCCAGTCAGCGTGGCCCATGCGACGGGCACTGTTCATCACACGCGTGGCCTGCGAACGCAGCCAAAAAACAGCTGAGCATCAGGCACTACACGAAATCGATCCTGAGACTGGCGGAAAGGCTACGGTGTACAGCATGAACTGATGCAGAAGGCTGTCGTTCTTTCTGACTGGGGCCTCCTCGAAGCATGTCCCAGATTCGACGTCAGAGCAGTTCTGCGGGCCGATGTGGAACGGAACGGAGATGGACGCCTGAGCAGTAGTGAGGCTCCAGACGTTGGATGTCAGTTTGAAGTTGCCGTTCCGTGCTGGGGCTGCGCTGCCCTACTGCCTACAAAAGCTACGAGCACCTTCACTTGCCATGGCTGCATGCTTGCAAGGGGATCCTGTCAGCTTGTCAAGGCATTGTGGCCCTGTCTCTGTTTCATCCTAGTGGTTGCTGTATGAGAAGTGTTCTGGAACTGTCCACACAGGGCCGGGAGCTTCTGGGCGGGCATGGCTGCTGATATCATTTCGGGGAATACGTCCTTCACCCTCAAAAGGACGGAAGAGCAGGGAATCATCAACGCACACGGAGGGCCCACGGAGCCTACGCCGCACGCACTGTAAGAACTGTGGGCGCGCACATCCCGAGGTCATGCTGAAACTCTTGGATGTGTGTGAGGGAAGGCCAACTGGGAGCTAGAGATTCTCGAGGGCTGGGCTGGCTGGCACAGATTGCGGAAAGAAGCCAAATTGACTACAAGCGTGACGCCAAAAAGGATCCCGCCAAAAAAGACAGTGAACACGCTGCTGGCCAGCTTCGAATGTCTTGCCAACGATCTCAAGAACCAGAAAGCTGGCTTTTGGAAGTCGTGAGTGCATGAACACCGCTTCGCAGCTGCCGATGTGAAGGCATCTCTGTCACACGAAGGATTGGGGGGGCGTTTTGTTTCTACGTCTGCGAGTCTTTTCTTCTTTTGGCCGGCTTCACGGCTGCTTGGCTCCTTGGCTTTGCGGCTTTGCTTTGCGGGTTTTTGGGCTCCCGGCTAATTGGCATCCTGGCTTCCCGGCTTCTGGCTTGAAATTCATTCACTTCTTGTCACTGCGTGATATCTACTCTCCACACCCTAAAAAGCCTTGAGGGCATAGCCACAGGTGCAGAGCGATTGCTGCTTGCGGCTTACCCATGTTCAGGCTAATGTGGCTCCATATTTAACCCATGCAAAATCGGCAGCTGTAGAAATGCACGTGATGTGTAATCACTGCCTCCACAATGGGCGGGTAGCCAGGAAGGCCACCATGATGAATCCTCGACATCAGGATGCTCTTTATGCCTACAATTTGTTGGGCATTCCTCCTCAAAGCAGTTTATGCACTGCGTAGCGACACGTGAACGAATTGCCCAAAGAAGACCCTGAGGTCTGCTGGTCCATCAAGATTCCACTCAGGCAACGTGCACACGTTTGACAACCTGTCTTCAGCTTCACCCCATGTCCTCCTCGCGAAAGCGTAGAGGCGGTAGCTGCCGCCTTCCTCCAGCTCCCATGTCTTCAGCTTTGCACGGAAGCTGTTCGGGCAGGCTTCCACCACATCTTTTATCACGGGCAGCTGCTTCTCAGCAATGTTGCCATCGGACTCCGGGTTGATTGGGGTTTCCTGGGTTCCATGCGGACTCTGATCTTCAGACTTGATGTGAGCTTAGTCCGTACACTAGACTAGATGGCCCAATGCCATAGCAAGCGCCCTGCTGCTTTCATATCAAGAAACCTTGGTCACAGCCCAACTGGCCCACGCACCAGTGTCTCCAGGAAAGGCTGTGGCCTTGTGACCATGAAAATGCCCTTTCGTCCTAAACACGCGGAAAATACCTGTACTGCCTGAGAACTGTCGAACGAAATCCAGAATTTGTGCTAGGCCACAATGGCGAACAAATCCAGCTGGACTTCCGCACCGCGATGCGCAGAAAATCCAAGAGGTACCTCCCTGCCCCCAGCCACCAGGAGCTTGTCTATATGAATCCTGGCAAAGGCCCAAGGACATCGACGTGCCGCACAAGAATGTGTTTCCCTGAAGCCTTGAGGTGTCTGGCTGTAAAGAAACATCAGACTTGCATGCAGAAGTCATCTTCCAAGAGGCTCTCCTGAAGGCTGTTTTGTCCTTGGGACCAAAGATATCGTACAAAGGCTGTCCCATGTCATTGAGATAGCCTCAGCACAAAATCGCAGGTGTGCCGTGCTGCTGCCATATGTCGACAATCACAGCGCCGGATTTTGCAGGATGGCGAACGCTTTCATATGCTTTCGAATATAGTTTTCCGGCTTTGCTTTCTTGTCATAGGATTCTATGAATTACGGCATTTGAGCGCGAATAATTCATACTGTAACCAACCACCGCGGCCAAGACAACCCAAAAACACACAAACAACATCCATCATCCCCACCCTGGAACTCATGCAGAATTATTACACGCGCAACCTGGATCACAAAGATCATGGCCTCGCTTGCAACAAGTTGAACAAGATATGCCTAACCTGCACGATCCCGCGGGCCACTGACTCTTGCAAATTGATGTTCCGGGTGAACTGGAAACATTGGACCTGAAATGCTGCGCAACCTCAGAGCTCTGAGCCTTGAGACCTAAATCCGAAAGCCTGCCTTCCCCAGCCACCAAAACTAACTCCTGGATTCAGGATCCGGCGTTTCTTTCGTGCCGCTTGCGTGTACAGTTGGGGCTTCACCCTTCTTAGAAGGTTGTCCCATTTTCCTGGTAGTGAAGATTCAGGATCTTAAGATTTTGAAGTGGCGCCGCTCTGTCTTGATGATCTCGGAAAATCTAGCAGCTAGCTCTCATGAGTGATTTAGTGGGCATGCGTATCCGTTTGTGTGAGTAGCTCCAGAAGCGACAGCCAACATGGGAGCCAGCTCTGGAGCTAAACCTCTTATGAGTGCAACCCTAAAATAATGTGATCCTAGACTGAAGGGTCCCGTTTGTGTACTGGAGCTGTGCCAGGGATGCCTTGGTAGTGGTAGTTTCCCCAAATAAGCGCACCCCAATATAGCATATAGACCCCAAAATATTAATCCCTATTTAGGGACCCCAAAAGCGTACCCTTAATCTTGGAAAACTACCAAAGGAGCAATAATTTGGGGGGTCCTATCGCTTCTGGGGGTTTTGGCGTAGGATACAAGAAAGGTATCGCTTTTGGAGGGTTCAGCCAAAACACAGTCATGGTTAGGTCTTAGATTGAGGGGCATTGCTTTTGGGGGGGGTCCTATCGCTTTGTGGCTTTTTGCGCGATTTCTACATCTCACGGCATTCCTTCTCTTCGTGCCTCATACGTGAGTTTTGACCATTGCTAATATGTACTGGTGTAGCATTACAATCCTGCAGCAAAGTGATGGGACCTGCCATCTATTGACGCTCATCCCCTTGCATTGCTTTGTTGTCCCCAGCCACGCCTCACCTGCCAGCCTGTTGAATTGCCTCCCAACTCATCCACATCAGACCTCACTTGCCCGCCGGGTGATGGCCTGAGATCTCGCATGATACCTCATCGAAGGCCCATCCATTCTGGTACCGTTGCCCGCCTGACACCTCACCTGCCTGCATTTGGAACTCCATTCAATGTGGAGGCCCAATCTGGCGCTAACATGCCATCCTGTTGCTGTTGTGCTTCTGTCCCACTGATGTCATTGCTGATGTCATTGCTGCTGTGCTCTTGCTGCTGTCCTGCTGTCTCTGCTGGGTATGTGCCCCTGCGTTGGGGTTCTGTCCTTCAGAGCGCACGACTCCATTTTTGGGATTCCCGTCACAATTCCCGCGTGTGAGATATGCATTTTATACGGCTAAGTCTTCTGCAAAGGAACCATAGCCATTCGCCTCGTGCCAGGAGTCCATGAGGCCAAACCAAGTACCGGTCTTCTCCCACTTCCAGCCCCAAAGGAAGGCCATGAAACCAACGCACATCTCCTGAGAGTTGAGCCCCGGTGGTCAGTCAACCAGTCAGAGTCATGAAGACAGGAGATTGTGTCATAGGGTCTGGCAGCTTCAAGACCAAGCAGCGTCATCCATGCAGAGGCGCAGCCCCCTCTTCAGGAACTGCCCTTTGTCTGTGGATGACCTCAGAGCATATGCCTCAGGCCGCAAGCCTTCCGGGCCTGCACCTTGCGCGCATGCTTAGCCCAGTGCTGCTCCAGCACGGCACCCCAAGAGGTTCGAGGTACCTGCCAGTTTTGCTCTCAGTTCCATTCTGCTGGTTCTTATCAGGCAAACCTCCTACAGGGGAGACTTGTTGAGACTGGGTTCGTGACACAATGGCGTCGAGAAGTGGGGGTTGAGCAAAACAAGAACACTCCGGCACCTCCCAAGGCCCGAGAGGGCCGCATTCCGTGAAGGCCTCGGGAGCTCACATTTGACAAGCCAGACAGAAGGGAGACCGGACTGCATCAGTGACTAAGCTAGAATGGACAGAAAACATCTGAGTCAGAATCCCACGGCTTGCGCCAACCAGCAGCGCGCAAACGTGCCCCAACATCTCGGATGGCGTTTCCTGACCAGTGGCACACGTAAGCGTACGCTTAATATGTTTTGGTTCGCTGGGCTAGGTTTGTGCTCAAGTTCCGTGAGTTGCCAATAGTTGTCACAGATCCAGCAGCAATGGCCGTTCAGCACATCAGCTCGAACAAGCTATCCAGGCAAGCAAAGCCAAGCATTCACTGAGGCTTCAGCCATACAAGTTGGTGCCAAGGACGTCTATCTTTGGGCAGAGCTTGGCCATCTTCGCAACTTTCGGACTGGAAGCAGGCTGTAGCAAAATCAAAGACTTCATTCCAATAGCCCGCTCAACGCCAGAGCCCTGAACTGCTAATGCAACCGTGGTGGCGTTGCGATCCCAGCCAAGGCGATCCCAGTGGGATGGTTTGGGTCCACCTTGCAAGCAGTTCATGCCATGGATGTTTGCAGCAACATGTGGGCATAGCACGCGAGCGCCTCTACAAAGCTAATGCTAAGTTAGCTGATAAGCCAAAAAGGATGGACATCGCCAAAGAAAGCCACGGACTTTCGAAACCGCGGAACCCACAACCACAACAACAACAACAACAACAACAACAACATGAAGAACAAGAACAAGAACAAGAACACAGCAGCCGAGATCAATAGCGACACCACGCCACCAAACCAATAACAACGGCGACAAGGACCACAAAAACCACAACGACCAAACTACCATAACTACCATGGCATTCACCCCTGGCGAGTGACTACCGGTTGAACTCCCCAAAAAGGTCTACGATATGTTGCCTTTGGCGCAGAACATTTTACGCTACATCTTCAAGTTTGCGATGTTGGGTTGCGAAGCGTCGATGTGCTCACACCTCCAGTTCTTGTAATTGCGGTACGCGTTGTGAGCATGTTGTATAACAAGCCAACAACATGCACACCGCCATGAAGCATTCGCGTTTCCAATCCTCATGCCTTCCATGGCTTTCAGAGGCTGTGCATGCCACCTGGGTCGGAAACCAAGTCCCTGTTATCATCCTCGCTGGCACTGTGGCCCACATATTGGCTCCTAAATTGTCACTGAGCGCCATCTTGTTGTCATGTGTGTTTCTTGCCGCTTCAACACAGCTCGTGGCTTCCATCCCGGTGTCTTGTACTATCAGCCTTAGCTACCTTAGATGTGTGCTACGGTACAAACACGTGAAGTGTGCGCTCATCATACCATTGGGCATACGCGCGATGACCGCGACACGCAAGCAGGGGGAAAAGAGCAGTGCTGCGGCATGAGCGCACTGTGCAACGAGTAAGCATGCTCTTCCAGCTGCATCATGTATTTGAATGTCTGCCTGTGGAATATCCAACAAAAGACATTTTGCAGGCAACGAACTGGGGTTCGCGTTGTAGTGCTGATCACTGTCGTCCCGCTGTTTCGGGTAGTGGGTGATTTTCCGCAGGCCACAGCATCGGCACAACTTCACCTAAGTGGCTTTATGACACCTTGCGCTTGGCAGCCACGACACTTCCTTGATCTTCCCCGCCATCCTTACTGTAGGCGCGGCAGAAGTGCAGCATCAGAGTGCAGGAATTAGATTAAGGGTGATGAGCTGAAGGCCGAACAAGAAAAGCGTACCTACCGAGACTTACGTCTATGATTCAACAGCTGACGCTGCAGACGCTTCGGCAGCACCCCTGCGCTTCAAAGCGTCTGGACACAACTGCCTCGCGAAACAATCCACAATCAACAGAGTGTTCAAGACGAGCTGCCAATTCACACGTCGCCACAAACAGTCACTTCCTTTCTCTGCGTCTATAGGGGTCTCGAGCTCGTTGCCTACCTTGTTTCAGAGACACCCAAGCGTAAACAGATCTCGTCAAGCTGTAGCCGGCAAATTCCCAGCACATTGCGTCAAGCTGCCAGCCACATGAGAATGTGTTCGTCGTACTTGCTCTGGTCCACCCTTTCAAGAATGCGCTTGGCTTCTTTCTGCCAGAAGCTGCTCCCCTCGAGGTCATCACAGTGCTCATCACCCTTGTAATATTGAGGATCACGAGTCATGTCGATGCCAACCTGGCTGGAAAGACTGGCTTTTGCTTGCTCCACCGGCCACATGCAAGGCAGAGCCATTAACACCGTAAAATCACTTGGACCGACTTGACCCGTGGCAACACCATGCTGCAGGCAGGCCACCATGACTTTGAAGCCCGTGCTCGCCGCGTCCTTTAGTACCCAGCGAAGCTGATCCAGGCCCCAGGTGCGAAAGGCCTGAAGGAGGCCGAGCTTAAGGGTACAAGGAGTCTTCAGCTTGGCTTCTCTAGGTCACCCCTGCTGACCTCGGAGCATTATGCTTGCATCGTGGCTGCGCCTCAAATCCCAACTGCTTCGCCAGCTGCGCATGGTGAAAGCCTCCTACACCTGCACTCGGTTGACAGCGGGAAGGGCAAATCCTATGACCAGGTCGAGCTCAGCTTCACTGAACTATCAGTCAGTCAGAACCAAGTGGCAAGGTCCAACATGGAAGGTAAGAGGTACGGCATGGAATGCCACACGATAAAACGAAAAACAGCTTAATGTTGCAGGACCATCTTCGAGCCAGGACACCAAACACCTTCCCCTTGATTTTGCCAATCGGATTGCCATTCTCTTTAAGGCTTCCTCCGTCAACCACAACCTGCAGGGTCTGCAACCGAGGCCGCCTTTGTGTAGACATCCGAACGCTTCACAGCACTGCCATCAGAGATCAGCCCTTTTGCCCAGCATGACTGCGGCTACAACTGTAAGGATTGAGCTTCCCAGGCAATTAGGGAGAATACAATGCTTGCTCTGGCTTGAAGCAGTGAAGCCCACATCCGATGTTTGCCCCTGCCTTTAGCCTGCGGCCAGCAGCCTGTGCCGCTGGCGGCAAAGAATTCGGATCTCCCACGGAGTGAAGTTGGTTGAGGCTCGCGAACCTGAGGGTGATGGCGACCCAAACAACAGTCAACAGTGAGCGTATCCATGTCACGGTGAAACTGACGGGGATATGAAATTGGCGGTGTTCCTAGGCCTGGGGCCTGCATAACACATGACACATGCATTGCCATGGCAGGGGCTATATGCAAACAAGTCAAGGCAGCCTGCTATCAGTGCCGGACAGCTGCTTGTCGCCCACCAGGACAAGTAGAGAGGTTAAAGAGCAGCCCAGCACCAGCACTAGCGGCAATCGCTTCTCAAACGCCATGGCTCAAGATGATCACACCTTCACCAGAATCCTAGCATGGCTGGGATCAATGTCAGTGAGGCTACCCAACGTCTTCTCTGACAAATCGAAACATCGCCTTGATCCAAACTATGGCATGGAGAATAGCCCCTTGGACGCAGCCCTGAGCTCGTTCAGCTCCTCTAGCTTCAAGCGTCGCACCACTCAACAAAGTCTTGCCAGGATGCATTCCAAAGAGTCATTCGCCAGCCCGGCGGAGCTAACCTTGGTCGTTATTTGGCCCCTCTAAGTAGTTTCTGAGTGTGGAGGCGTGCACCCAATACATATCGCTAGCTACGAAACATAAAGACAAGGATTCAGTCTGCATGCTGCAATGCTGTCATGTCTGTCGGTCTTTTCAGACTTTCAGCTGGTCTGCAAGATGCGGGTTTAGGCGCCCCACGACAACTTCGAAAGTGCTTCGGGCCTCATGTCCTGCCGGCCAAGAGCTTGAGGTTGCAAGATTTCTGGTTGCGAGTTGTTCCTCAGAAAAGGCACCCTCTTGGTTACTCACATCCTGCCTCAGCAAGGAGAAACTTCGAGAGCTTGGACGAGCCGGCCGGCGCCTCCTGGCAGAAGCTCGGATTGGACCTGTGGACCACCCATGAGGCTGGCTTTACCTGGAAGTCGCGAATTCGCGGTTTCACGGGGCGAGCACCTGCAACGCTGGCACGCGACTGCTTTGCTTCAAGTCGAAGGAGCTCTGAAGCCGTCCTGGAACGCCGCTGTCCTCACGCAGCTCACCGCGTAGTGCCGCATCAGCCAGGCAGTCTAGGACTTCACGCAGTGTATTTGCATTCCGCCACTGGCCCACATTCGCCACCTTACAGTCGCAAGGCCGAATCTGTAGTGAAGGAAACTGCATTGACAACTGCTTCTGAGCAAGGTGCTTGACCCACGCGAGGGGACCGGGCGCAGTTGCCGATCAGCGGGTCCCAGGCCGGCCACGGGAAGCTGCCCGAAGTCAAACCAACAAGTTGACAATTTTGTGAAAAGAGGAAGCTCTCCAGCTGGTCTGCATAAGCATCTATGCAAAACATGGCTAACTTTCAACCTTCCACAATCACAACTTGCAACATGAGCAGAACGGTGGGGATGCATCAGAGGTCGCAATGAGAGCGCCACTGCTTCGCACCAGTTTTGTCACAGAGCTAATGGCGTATAATGGCTTGCCTACTGAACAACATCCTTTGTAGTTGCATGCAAGCAGCGAATGCAAGGAAAGATTCCACATTCCACACATGCCTTTCGTACTGCCCAGTCAGCCGCTCACGCTGAAAGCGCACCTGCTTTTGCAGGAAACTTGGGCTAAAGATCCCACCGAAGAGTTAAAGCTTCGTACAAGTGAGCATAACACATGTCCACACGGCCCTTAGCGAAAACCCAGAATGTGTCTGAATTCCTACGTGTCGGCTTTTGCGCGTGGGGGCTTCTGCCTGTCGATACTGACAAATACAACAACAACAACAACAACAACAACAACAACAACAACAACAACAACAACAACAACAACAACAGCAACACCAACAACAACAACAACAACAACAACAACAACAACAACAACAACAACAACAACAACAACACCAACAGCAACAGCAACAGCAACAGCAACAACAACAACAACAACAACAACAACAACACAAAC